CACCGCCGAGGCGGAAACGCCCAGCGCAGCCGTGCCGTACCGCCGGCACGGGGTGGGATGGGGGCAGCTCTGTGCTTGTTACTGGCTCTCGGGTGTTGAAACCGCCATAAAAAGTTCAGCTAGGACTCAACATCTTCCCCTCACTCATCTGAAATCTGTACAACTGTTTTTTTTCCCCAATAGAAATCAGTTAAATTTCCTTGCAGCGGTACTGAGACCCTATTTGGGAACCACAGAATGGCCAGGGTTTGAAGGGACCTCAAGGATCGTGAATCTCCAACCCCCTGCCACATGCAGGGCCACCAACCTCCCCATTTTAGACCAGGCTGCCCAGGGCTCCATCCAACCTGGCCTTGAACACCTCCAGGGATGGACAGGGCATCCACAACCTCTCTGTAAAGAACTTCCTCCTGACATTGAAGCTAAATCTCCCCTCCCTCAACTTAAAACCATTTCCCCTTGTCCTGCTGTTATCTACCCTTTCAAAGAGTTGATTCCCCTCCCCTCTGTAGGCTCCCTTTGGGTACTGAGAGCCTGCACTGAGCTCACCCCGCAGCCTTTTCTCCGGGTTGAACAAGCCCAGCTCCCTCAGCCTGTCCTTGTAGGGGAGGTGCTCCAGCCCCCTGATCATCTTCACGGCCTTCTCTGGACCCTCTCCAACAGCTGTCTTTCTTATATTGGGGGCTCCAGACCTGGACACAGTACTCCAGATGGGGCTTCACAAGAGCAGAGGGGGACAATCACCTCCATGTCCCTGCTGGCCACCCCTTTTCTGATGGAGCCCAGGATACCATTTGCTTTTCGAGCTGGAAAGCCCACAATCCCCATGTTTCAGTGACTCCCATAGAGAGCTGTATGCAGGAACAAGGCTCACTGAGCCGCACCTGCCATCCCTTGCACAGCACTGCCATCCCGCGCTGACAGCAGAGTGGCTGAAGAGCACAAAAGCTCCTCTGCAAACTGCTCCTGCTGCTCCACTCTCAGCTTCGGTTCATTTTGTTAGCAGGCACAAACCTAACATCGCATCCAGAGTGTCGGTGCTACAGGGAAGGAGTGAGAAGATCCGTCGCTGCACTGCACCTGGATAGCTTAGCTATTTTACTAGTACTTTCATTGCATTGTTTGAAGGCAAACTTTCTCTCCATAGTGTAGCAATTGGACAGATGAATAGCGTGGGAGAGGCATTACAACAAAGGTGTGATGACAGAAAGATCAGCACGACAGAAAGGTGCTAGAAGGGAAGGGAAGAAGATTGCTCACCCGTATCAGAAGATTCCAGATTCACAGGAGAAAGCTTCACCAAGGAGAGATCTCCAGAAGGAGATCCTTTCCCAGTGGCAGCCAGCCCTTCAGTGAGGTCTACAGCTGAACTGCCTTCACCTGTGCTCCCAAGGCTGACCGGGTTCTTTCCCAGGTGCTCAGTCAGGCCGGGACTCAGCAGTTACCACACACATAGCAAACAACTTCTGAGGTTATCTGCATCAACACAGAATACATTTCTGCTGCAGAAGAGATGGGAGGATAGCATTTGTTTGGCCATAAAATTATGGGCCGGCCACTGAGAAGAGCCCATGCTTTCAGGAGATCTCCCCATTATTCCTGGTGAAATACGGCAAGAACTGCACCTACAAGCTTTATCAGAAAGCACACATTGCTTGTATAAAGGCTGACTACAACTTCCATGTAAAAGTTAGAACAGTGCAGAAAAGCACACTGCAGCAACATCAGCCAGAGCTTCAGTCAGATTACCTGAAGAAATCTTGCAGTATGTGAGTGTCAGCACTTCCACTTGTCTGGTTTACTGAAATGCACACCACCATCCCTTCTCACGTGTTTGTTAGCAACATAACTATTTTATAAACAGCAAAAATGTTCTGACTGAACTTAACTAGTGTGACCTGCAGATGGGCTGAAAGGAGCAGCCTCACTCCAAGCCCTGTGGCACAGCAGATGTTTGTCTAAATGGGCCACGTCTGTCAGATGTGAGTGCCCAATTCTAGAACTGCACAGAAAAATTGAAAGGTTTGTGTTTCTTGCTGCAGTTACTCCCAGGATTGTGTTTGTTTGCTGTCGATGAATGATCCTAGAGGTTTTTTTGTTGCAAGTTTACTGCATTAATAGATGGAACGTGACAAAGGCGTCAAAACCAAGCATACATTTCTGTCTTTACTGTGAAGAAACACAAGATCAAGAGCTCGAACTTGCTGGCACCATGACTTTCACCATCCCTTCCATAACAGTCTTTCCACTTTCTCTGACTTTACACGATACTGAGACGCGTGCAACAGAGCTCCTCAGTCGCTTCACTTCCACTGCAGCTATCACTTCTTCTCCAGTATACAGAGGAGCTGGAAATCGAATCTCCTGAGAAAGAAACACACAGCCCTGACCAGGCATTTTAGTACCCAGAACTGCAGAAATAAGTCCATTGATCAAAACTCCGTGTACAACAGTTCTACCAAATTTAGTTTTCTTGGCAAAATCTTCACTTAAATGCAAAGGATTTGTGTCACCTGTTAAATGAGAAAAAGTAAGGACATCATTCTGTGTAAAAACTCTGGTAAGTTCAGCTTTGTCTCCAACTTTTATATGTAAATTCTGAAGCAATGGACATCCAAACAACAGGTTGGTAACCGCCAGCTTTGTTGAAGCTCTGTGTCGGAAATCCCCTCTAGAAATTCCACATCTGAAGAGCTGCAACATTTCAAGGACCTTCTGACAGTCCACCCAGACTGGAGACTTAGTCCAAGACCAGCTCCCTGCTGTTCCCAGCCAACGCAAGAAGAAATGGAGATGTCTTGTTTTGGGGGAAGAAAAAAAGAAAACGAGAAGCATTAAAAAAAAAAAAAAAAAAATCATCAAATGCACCCAGAGTTGAAAATATTTAATCCTCCCATTTATATAGAAGATTTTAAAGTAAGAGCCATGACTAAGCAGAAATTTGTTTAGCCATGGCTTCAGAGACAAAGAATTCATAGCAGTCATTTTATTAAGCAGCATCCTCAGGAGGAAAAGACAAAAGGTCTGGAGGTACTCGTTTATGCATCCATTTTTACATGAGGTCATTACTGACTTTTAGAAAGGGAAGAAATGGGATGAAAGGTGCCAAACAAACATGCAGCACAGCACTGATGGTGGGGAGGCCCCCTCCTACCTGCAGTACCCGGAAGGCACACCGCCTGTTCTGGTAGAAGCCCTGCAGGGTCAGAGCACTCCACAGCTTGACGAGGCCTCTGAGTAAAAATAAGACAAAAGACATTAAAGTTTTTTTTCTCTTTTCCCGCAGCATAAATGTTTTTAAAATATGTTACACAGAGAGTAACGAGGCAGACTTTGACAACCTGTAACGCACCAGTGAGTTCTGGTAGCAGCTCTGTGTCACGAAGGGTTGTTATAAGGGCTGTACCCTCGTCCTTGACACAGGGCAGATGCTAATGGTGACCATGTTACGTTACTGGCCCTGTTCTTAAGTTCTTCCTGTGCCTTTCAGTGCCATTTCCCCCACAGCACCTGCAGCTGTCTCCAACATTTAAACCTGACCCCCATTCTCACAGGAAGAGATTTAGAACCACACCTTCCAGCAGGGCTTTGCTCCTCCGGACCCTTCTGTTCTACAGCAGGTACGGATGCACACGGGTCACAAACCCTGAGGGACTTTTTATTTCACAGAACTGTTAAGAGATGGATGGGGCATGAGAGGTCGTCCGGCCTCACTTCCCCGCGATGCAGAGACGCCCACAGTCCCATCAGGTGCTCACAGCCCATCCAGCCTCACCTCGGCTGTCTGCAGGCATCCAGCACCTCTCTGGGCAGCCTGTGCCTCGCCGCGCTCATTGCAAGAGCTGTTTGCGCCCAGCCTAGCTCTCCTCTCTCCAGCCTGACACCGCTTCCCCCGTCCCGTCACAACAGACCCAGTCTCCTTTCTCACAGCCCGCCGTTTCCCTCACGCTCCACGCACCCGGCTGTGCCCAGCTATTCCTCACAGCACGCTCTCCGATGGAGCTTTTTCTCGCGCTCCTTACCCGCTAATCACTCTCAGGACGGCACAGAGACTTTTCTCCTCGTACGCCAAGACGTCGACAGGCAAAGCGGCCCCAACCTACACACAGAGATGCCGTGAGGCGCAGCCGGGCTCCGCGCGGCTCGGCGCGATCCGCCCGTCTTACCTCTCCGTGCAGCTCCCGCAGCGCCGCCACCACCAGCTGCTTCAGCTGCGGGGCGCCGGGCCGCGCCGCGCCGTCGGGGAGCTCCCTGCGGGGAAACAGAGCGGAGTTGGGGCTCGGGGGGCGGCGAGGAACGGGGCGCTGAGGAGCGGGGCCTTACGCACAGGCGGACCCGCAGGTAGCAGTGCTGCGCCGCGCTCACCAGCACCCGCCGCTCGTAGGCGGCCGCCGGCGGCTCCGCTCGCTCCATGCGCCCGGCGGCGGCCGCCCCTTTCTACGGCGGCTCGGCGGGGCCGCGGCGGGGCGGAGCTGCAGGCGGTGCTTGGGACCGAAGTGCGGGATGAAGGCGGGCCCGACGATCCGTTGGCCTCGAGGACGGGCTGCGTAAGGAGGTCAAAGCGCCAATTAAAAGCTTAATCAGCAGCCGGATGGCTTGTTGATAAGTTTGTGACCATAAACGGGACCACCGCGATCCCTTCGCGGAGCCGCACGCGCGGTGCTACGTTCGAACACGCGTAGCGTAGCAGTAAGGAGGCGGCGCTGGGTGCTGCGTTCGAGTCCCGGCTGTGGGGGACGCGTGGGCACAAAGCCCTGGGATCGCGTGGAAAAGCAGCAGAGAGGACGGAAGGGCCTTCGCTCTGCAAATAAATCAAAACTGTAATAATTTAAAAAGCACCCAAGATGAAACAGCCTGAGCTTAAGAACCAGCTGGATGCTTCTTCTAAAACTGCATCTCGTCAGGAATTGATCTGAGCCAGCATGGCAACACCGCAGCGACCTAACGGCCATCCCGTGCAGCCTGAGTTAGGGCCCTGCTCACGGGAAAGCATTTCCCACCTCCCTAACCGCTCTCTGACCGCTCTGCACAAAGGAACGCCGAGGTTCTGGGTAGCTTTCCCTATTTGGCCTTTGGGTTTTGTCCCCCTGGCAGCAACCCCCTCCATCCCATTCCCTGCAAGCCCAGCTGCGTCAGGGCGTGAAGGGCAGGACTCCTGTGCTGCAGGCGGCAGCCTGCTCTCACCTTCGTCCTGCTGATGCAAATACAGCATGCTTATGTCAGCTAAAGCCTGCAGTGCTTTAAAGGAGATGTTCGTAAGAAAACAGAAACACGGTGCCCCAAAGCCTCCCTGTAAGCATTCAGCAGAGCTCGTTTCCAACCACATCAAAAGACTTCAGTCTCCCAAGCAGGCTGTTGGATTCCTAACAGGCACCTTTTCTGGACTACTCTCCCACCTAATTTAAAAACTGACTGTAAAATACTAAATGCTTTAAACAAAGCTTAAGCAAAAGCAGACGTGAAATAATCTTTTTCCAACACTCAACATGTACCAAGGCTCATTTTCTCATCAAATTATTAGTGAGGTTAAAAAAGGCACAGAATGCAGCAGCACCAAGTGAGAACTCAAGGAATGTTGTGGTCCCTCAAGGAACAGAGAAACAGCACAGAGCCCAGATAATCTTCCTACAGTTATATGAATGATATTCATCAAATATGCCTGAGCTGCCAGTTCTATTTGGAGCAATAACATCTACAGAAATTTCTATTCCTTTTTAAAGATGATAGCAAAATTTTATCACTGGAAAGCAAAACGTGCTGGTCAGATCATGTACAAACATGTTCTGGTTGTTGCAATAGGGTGAGTGCTGTTCTCCATAAGCCCTGATAACAGGAGAAGGAACTCAGGCACTCCAGGGAAATCTGGGTAGCTGCTGTAAATCCCACTCTGATGTACTCGCTGTGGGGGGCTGTCAGCTGCAGGGAGCAATAAAGAGCACACACAGACTGCACCAGGAAGGCTGGACACAACATGTCAGTTTATTAACCAAAAGTGAAGCCGAACCCCAGAGTGGTTTAACTTTTTAAAACCATATGTTTATATGGCAGATACTTTTTTTTTTTTTCCACGTTAACACTGTACTGCAAGAATCAAATTTTGCAGCTGTTCACCCTTTGAGAATCAAATACTAAGTGTAAAATGAATAAGGGTCCCTCGAATCAATTAAAAACATATTTAACTCAAAAGAACAGACCAATTTTAAGAACTGTCTTATGAAATTCTCCCAAGTGAAAGACTTTCAAAGCACTTGGAGCCTTGAGGTAGCAACTTTATGCAGAATTTAATTCCCCTCCTGCCCCACAAAGCAGAGGAAAATTAGTAACGCATTATTAGCTCCAGCCAGCTAAGCGGAGTTGAGTGTTCTCTTATGAGGTTAGCAACTTTCTCTTCCACCTTGGAACAGCAGTGTAGTGCTGCAGACATCAGGAGAAAATCCACAAGGAAGGCCTCTTGAAATAAAATATCTGGTTTGAAGGAAGTGAAATGATCAGCAATAACCATAACAACAAAAATTATCTGGAGTGAAAAGAAACACAAAGTGTTTGTATTTTGGCAAGACTAGTTTACAAATACACATCAAGAACAAGAGTCCATCTTCAGCCAATGGAAAAGACAGACTGGAAGTGACATTCAAAGGGATTTCTTTTTTGCCCTCTGTGCAAAATTGCACATTGTTTTGTTTTGCCTTTTTAGAAGAGAGCACTTTTGCCCCCCCTTTTTAAACATTGTGAAACGTGTGCAGTTACATTAAACAGAAATGGAAATGCCAGGATATTCGGCCACTGAAAGCTCCTCTCACTGCCTTCACAACAATCACAAGCAGGGAATCAAACTCTGTTTCCCTCCAAGTCTCAAAGACACTATCCTTTATACGAACTTTGCTGCTGAGTTCTTTGATTAAAAACTAGACCTCTCTCCACTGTAAATTTCAGGGTGTCCACAGCAGATTTACTGTTCACTGAGCTGTAACAACAGCAACAAAAACAGCGGTGTGCATTCTCCTCGTCTGTGAGGAACAGTCATAGTGAAAAGGAATAAGCTGAGATGCAATAATGCAGGCAGATCTCTGCAACCAGGCACTTCACTCCCCAGTCACACTGTCATTGCCAGCGTGCTTTCTGACCTTGCTCACTGCTGTGCCGTGCAGCTAACCAGGCAGCGTCCAGCATCTCACTGCAAGCTTTGGATGCTACCTTCATGCTTCAAGATGGCACAGAACATGATGGTTACAGCAGACTAATCATGCACACTGCAAACTACAACTGTGCACCTTCTTAAGGTGGGCGAGAAGGATGAGCCTCCTGACAGACTCACTCTCTCCTTCAGCTCAATGATTTGAGTCAGATTGCCTCTTTACACTACAGAAAGAGGTCATCCTGGATGCAGGATGGTATTTGCCCTATTTGCTTTTGCTTCAGGGAGTCTAGAGAAAGATAGAACTTCAAATTCTTGTTCTTGGATCCCAATCTTCTGATTTTCTGTTCTCATCTTCTCCTTTGACTTCTAGAAGCCATGAAATCCTCCCTTCCAGGTAGAACTTACAAATCTAACATCAATCTGGGCATTTTGTTATGTTTCAAAACAATTGCCAATGTTTGCATGTGCTGAGGAACAAAATCTTGTCCTGCAGAGAGAACCAAGGGCTGCAAGAAACAGAATCCATCTGAGAGACAGCTCAACCTTCCAGGTCCCTCTGAATAGGGGATATTCTGCCTGGGAGCAACAAAGGCCCAGCTGACAATTATTCACAGCAAGTCTCTCTTTAGTTCACAGGACAGCTTAGGCAGCACTTAACTCATACTGGTTTGCAGACCAGTTTATGTCTGGGTTGCAGGACATTCTCAGTTGGCTTCTGTCTTGGAACCCAAACCATCCTGAACTTTAAAATATCAAAGACTGTTTTCACTCTTTTGTTTGTTCTTTAAAAAAATTAATAATAATCCATAATTAAAAGAAGGATATTGTCTTTGGTGTTAAGCCTCAGAAGCATGACAGCATGAATGAAGTACCTGCTGCTTCTTTGGCTGTAATTTATCACAAAAAAAAAAAAAAGAAGAGAAAAACTAGCCCAGGAAAGCAAAGGAAATTCACTGCTCTAAAATACATGCAGTTAGAACAGCTGCTACACATTACAACCAGGACTTTAATACTATGGAAACACCCCGTTCAGTGGTGCCCATTACATATCACTTCCATTTTATAAAAATATTACTCCAATGACAGTAACTGGACAACAGTCAAACTTATCAAGTTGCCATCTTACTTATATTGCAGGAACTGGGAGGACTTCATCTATTTAGGAGAAAGAAAGTCACCCAGTAATCAACTTAAAGTTGCAGCAGAGTTTTCTGTGCCTTAAAGAAAATATCCACCATTGTAACAACTAGAAGCAGAAATTCAACATTAGCATCCTTCCCTTCTTGCTCAAACGGCTGTGAATCAAGCCAGCACATTGTTACACCAGCATCCACAATTAAAATATCATAATCCACATAAAACACCATTAAGTTTTTATCACGAGCTGCAAAACATAAATTCAAAGGGTCACAGATGAACTACCTACAAATTTCATATCTTTATCCTGGGTTCCATCAGAAAAGGGGGGACCAGCAGGTAACTGGGAGGGAGGTAACTGTCCCTCTCTACTCTGCTCTTGTGAGGCCCCATCCAGAGCACTGCATCCAGATCGGGGGCTCCCAAGGCAAGAAAGACAAAGAGCTGTTGGAGAGGGTTCAGAGAGCCACAAAGATGATCAGGGGGCTGGAGGTCCTGCCCTACAAAGACAGATGAGGGAGCTGGGCTTGTTCAGCCTGGAGGAAAGAAGGCTGCAGGCTGAGCTCATTGCAGCCTTTCAGTACCTACAGGGAGCCTACAAACAGGAGGGGAATCAACTCTTTGAAAGGGTTGATAACTGCAGGACAAGGGGAAATAGTTTCAAGTTGAAGGAGGGAAGATTTAGGTTGGGTATCAGAGGGAAGTTCTTTACAGAGAGAGTGGTGAGGTGCTGGAACAGCTGCCCAGAGAGGCTGTGGATGCCCCGTCCATCCCTGGAGGTGTTCAAGGCCGGGTTGGATGGGGCCCTGGGCAGCCTGGTCTAAAATGGGGAGGTTGGTGGTCCTGCATGTGGCAGGGGGTTGGAGATTCATGATCCTTGAGGTCCCTTCAAACCCTGGCCATTCTGTGATTCTATATAAATATTCTTTTCACACCATAAAAATGTCCTTCCTGTCATCTGATTCGTATTTATATGGTGCTCTGATAAAATCTCAGCAGAATTAAGTTCATTAAAGCTGTGGAAACACTCTACCTACTAAATGCTGCAAATTTAACAGGTATTTTAGATAAACATAATTAGCTTAGTTATCACCTAACCCAAAAGATTCCTCAAATACACCAATTGTCTAGTTAGCAAAGACAAATGCTGACAACTTTTGAAAGGCTTATGAAATCAGTGGCATTTGAAAGCATTCAAGTGTCTAATTAAGTTAAAATACTGTGACACTGGAAGGAGGGAGCTCCTGTAGATAAATACAGAAGTAGTCTTCCTTTAAATTACAAAATGTTCATTCTTAAAAAGCTTTAAAATTGAGTCAGACAACAGCACCCTGGCAAACTTGCAGTATAAAGGATCTCTGTAAATGAAAGAAGGACATCTATTGTGATTTTGACACCATATATATGTATATATAGTGTCAGAAACATGGAGCAAATCTGGGGAGAAGACAACTATGACACCTCCAAGCCATACAGTCTGAATCACTGCACTTTCTTGGGAAGCATGAAGTAATTTTCTTTGCTGCTCAGAAAACGCTTAAATTTGCAATGCTTCATTTTCTGCATTTTGTTGCTAATCAGATTCTCACCTGTGTCCCCAGCTCAGTTTACTTGGTTTAATGAAGTACCTGCAGTTTTCAACAGGTGGAAGAAAGTTTCAGTGCCACCATACTAACTGGCTCCATTGATATTTTAATGTCAAATCCAGCTGCTACAATTAAAAGCAAATTTGGGTAATTGAAGTGTTAGAAAGATAATAAACCTATCAAAGGCTTGTATTCCACAGGTTGCCTCTGAGGAACAGGCAACCTCCTGCCACAAAATTTGATCTGAAAATTTATCCCACCAGGAACACCAGAAGGAAGGAGGCTTCTGTATCTTGCACACTTTGGGTGTTGCATCAGGCACTTGAACTGCTGGACAGATGCCATTCTGAACCAAGTAAGCGAACTCAAAGTTAGAACCATTTTTAATCTAGGTCTAATAATGAAGTATCAGCAGCAAAGTGGAGGCAGGGAGTGAGCAATCCATCTGTGCCGAGACTTGCTTACGGTTTCTAAAATGCCCAAGAAGACAGCAGCATTAACTGTTCCGTAGTGTCCATTTTCCTTGTGAGTTGTGTTGCTGATAGGAGGCTTTTTTGTGTCTTGAACTAAGAAGGCACTGAGGTACCCTGTGCCTAATTCCCTGGATCCAACAGGTCCATGCTTGAGCCAAACATTGCCACCAGCTGCTCCTCATAATGCGTTATATTCCTCTTCATAATGTCCATGCAGGGTCCAAGCAACCTCTCAAATGCTTGCACATCCATGACTGCAGAGAAGTAAAAATATGATTGTCAAGTAGAGTCCTTTTGGATAAAACAATCTACTTTTTGAAGCTGAAGCACAGAACTTCAATCTAACCCATTTGGTTTTGAGGCTTCCATGGATGCTGATCTCCTTCTGTACTATCACTTGGAGGAACAAGCTTAACACACACCTCATCTCAGAAGTCAAACACACACCGCGCAGGCATTAACAGATCACCTGGGAGCTGTGACAAGCAAGCTAGATAAGAGGCTAATGCTTAAGTCTGGAGTCTTGGTGCAAATTCTCCTTTTCAAAGAGCACAGAACACACACACAGGAAAACCAACCTGCTATGCAGTTATCCCCACCCATCTGAAACCAGATGTCTGAGAAGAAAAGCATTGGTGCTTCTCAAATTTCAGCACAGTCGTCCACTTCAAGCTATGCACTTAGCTTCTAGAATCTGACCACCTGGTGCCAAAAGGCTGCCAGACTTTGAATAGTTTCTCAGTTAGGGGTAGTTCACAAAACAATAAGAGACCAGAAACAGGTAACTAGATACACACAGAGAACATTTGCTTACCTAAACATTTGACCTCTCCAACAGCATAGGCAGAGGCTGCCCTGGGCTTGTTGGTAACAAGTGCAAGCTCTCCAAAATACTGCCCTCTGTGACACCGGGCAATCTCTACTTCTTGGTTAGCTTCCTTACTCATCATAGTCTGCAAAACAGTACATTTTAATTACCCTCATACAGTTACGTCTTTGTACAAGGTTCAAGTTAATCCCAGATAGCCTGCACATGTGCAGCTGCCCATTGGTTTACAGCTTGCAAACTAGCAGCTCCCAAATCATGCCCTGTAATGTTATTAACGCCTTGACAGCATTTTCAACTGCATGTTTGGTTAAGTGTATGCTGGCCCATAAGTTTTCATGTATTCACTGTTGCAAAGTTGGGAACTGCTACACAGCCTAACACAGCTACAAAGTTTTGTCATAGATAAGACTTCATCCCAAAGGACTGCTTCAGACTGTATAGGAATCTATTCAGATGCTACTGGATACTGGAGTTAACACACCCCAGCTTTTTCTTCCTTGTAGTTTGCTACAATCCTACAAGAAAGTTTCATTTTGACCCTTAAGGCCAGAGAGAATATAAGAGGTCAGTGTGCAGAGTAGACAGAAGAAACAAACCTTCCAACATTGGCAAACTGACTCCTGTCCACTTCAGAACAGGTATGGGGATGTAAAACACACATCGCAGTTGTGACAACGATCAAGTACTTAAAATGGTGTCTCAAAGTCAGTCAAGTTAGGCTTCTGCACACCGCAGTTAGCCAATCAATGATTTAAGCCAATCAAATCAGGGATTAATTTAAAATCTCATCACCCAGTTCAAACTCACCTTGCTTTTAATCATGATTTTTACTTCACCAGATTCTACAATATAAAAGCAATCTGCTTTATCGCCCTGTGAAGAAAAGGTAAAAAATACGTATATATTTTTAGTTTATTATGAAAGTATTTATGAATGGTATTATTCATTCTGAACTGGGCTTTGTGCAAGCCATCAACGTGAGGAATTACACAACACTTGTGAAAATAAAGTGAAAAAAGAATAAAGCACTCAATGGCATTACACTATTTAAGGAAAATAAATCACATCAGGAAAGTGGGAGAAAGTAGAAATTGTAGCCATTTAGAATCAAGTTCCAAAACGATACAGGAACGTGTAGTAAGAACTTCTGTTTTAGTTCCACTCATCTGTTTCCAAGAAGCCCCATGGAGTTACAGAAGAAATTAGGCTCTTATCTGTGGTTCTTTCTGAACAGTGCTAAGTACTGAAGTACGAAGCTGCTCGCTTCCTGTTGCCAGCTATCACAAACTGCTGCACTCAGCGCGCTTCTTAACAACGCACTGAATGCTCAGTACTTCTGAACACTGGAATCAAACTGAGTGGGAGTCATGGGACTTCACGTAACACCAGCAGTATGGTTTAAAGCACCAGTAGTATGATTTAAAGCTACTGCTTTCAGTCACACTGCCCTAACTGACAGATCAAATTCCAGAAAGATAATTAAAATGTAACATTATCCATGAGAGAAAAAGGATTCATGCTCCTGGTGCAATCGCTGTAGTACAAGAGCTATCACCATCATTTCCAAGCATGAAATTTCATCATCTCCAGCAATGTGCAATAATCACCCAGATCAATCCAGAATATTAATCCTACTTGCAATTTTCCTTACATGTAATTACATCCTTATCCTTAATTTGGCTGTTACAGATTGAAACCAACCCTGTAACCGGATCACTGACTGTACAGCTTCTGAGAAAGCTTTGATTCTGCTGACAGCCCAGGTTTCTCAGGCTCTTAAGCAACAAGATTTTCAGCTTACACAACTGAGTCTTTCTGGAAAGAAGTGATTTGGCTGTATTTTGTTATCAGCAAACCTTGTTTTCTTGCATTGTGTTAGCTGATTTCAAGTTATTAAGATTAACTATTCAAGACACTATGAAGGATTCAGATTCTGTTTACAAAACAGGGAGACCTGTGACCAAACAGCCTACCATTCCAGGTAAGCCAAACACTTCCTTGCATTAACCCCTGCTTAAAATAGAGCACTTTCTCAAAATAAATATACAAAGCTACCCCCCAGCTAAGATTGATGCAGAATTCTTGTGTTTCATCTGTAAAAATACTCCAAGAAGTTGTTCTGTCACAGGAAAAAAAGAAAAAAAAACTTCAGATTGAATTTGTCCAGCTTTATGTTTCAATCTGGCCTTGATCTACCACAGCAGACATTACAGTTGACTGAAGTCTGACTATTGCTAACAATAAAATACTCTTTTTAAAGGCATCTGGAAAAATGACTTTTTTATTGACAGTTCTTTGACAGTACAGTTAACTGACTTGATATCAACTAACAAAACATCCCTATCGAGCTTGTTTAGCTCTGTGCAAATCACAGTCCTGTCGAATTGCTTGATTTTCTTGTTTATTCAGACCCAGAAATTGGAGATGCTCTGGATGTGTTTTGGGATTCCCTATTTAATCTGGTTACAGGTGCCTACAAGAACTGCACCTCAGGGCTTTCATGAAAAATTGCAAAGAGAGACACATAATTTCAGCTTCTTAAGGCTCCTTCCTCTCGAAGCCTTGCTAAGACCATTTATAAAAAACAAATGGTCAAGAGAAGGGATTACCCAGAAGCTAAAGCAGTAGAATAAATATGTAACAAAATATGTGCTGGTCCTCCCCCACGTAGTCAAAACCTGGTTAAACAAATTGAAAGTATTAAAAGAACAAGTGATGCCAACTTGATCCAATTAACACAGTTCTGTGAGTAAATTCCACATAGGAACAGAAACAAAGAGGGGAGAAGGACAGGTGGGAATTTATACTCCAAGTACCTGAGAAATGATACGTTCCCCGTCCTGATACACTTTCTCTCCTATAACATCCACAATTTTCATTCGTTCTGATGCCTGCAATGAAGAGGAAAATCAAGCACAATTACCTGCTATAATAAACTTCATAACTCAGAAATTAAGCGCTCACTCAACAGAAACATGCTGAATCTGGCTACTGAAAAATGCAGCCCCACACGACTTCATGAACTGCAGCACAACTTTCAAGACTACCAATGATCAATGAAAAAAATTTTCATTTTCTAGTGCCCACACCTGAAGTTAAAAATGGCTGATTTGGCTGCTTTAAACAAAGAAAAAAATCACTTCCTGTGAGATTCAGCTGAAATCTGAAGAAAGCCCTTCAAAAAATCCCCAGTACTTCCCAAGAAACCTCAATGAAAAATACTAATTCATTTTCAAAATATTTTCATTGCTACGCACTTGAATGTCTTTGGTTGGTTGGAGTTTTTTGTGTGTTTATTTTGGTTGGTTATTTTACATCTTAAAGCTCACTGCTAGATTAGCAAGAGGGAGAGGGGATATGAGAAAGACACTGGATCTAAAAATTGTAAGCAAGCACTGCAACAGGATGCCCTGCAGCAAGGTCAAGAGGTACCAAAGTGACACGCAGTGAAATGTGCTTTGGCCTTCACACACAGGAAGGGAGGAAGGACAGTTAAACTTATCTCCAGTGTTTCCTGCTGCCCATCCAGCACATCACAAAACAAGTTTAATGGTTCAAAGCAACGTAAAAATACGTTAAGAAAGGAAGAAAATCCTAAACAGTTAAAATGAATACCTCAACACATGATTCATTTTTAATCTATTCATTTCACAAATGCACCTCCATCTAGCCCATGTTCGAGAAACTGTTAATTACAATCCACGCATGATTCAGCTGCAGTGTGTCATGCAAAAAGGCAGCCAGTGCTAATGAGATTTTTCTCTTTTTTGAATCCTTAAACTTTTATGAGTCATCTAGGGCTCAGAAAAAAATCTCACTGATGAAACTAGTTTAAGCCAGTCATTGAGGGACGTGTTGTGTAATTCACCCCTTCCACAGCTATCAGCATAGGTCCAAACTAATATATTCTGGAAGCCACTATTTACACTTATGATGCTTTGCAATTTTGTAATCTTCTCTCAAGAGGATTGAGAACTATTCCCAAGTGCTAAAGATTAAAGCTGAAAGATAGAACAAGGAATCAAAGAAAAATACAAGTTATGGCATAAGGCAAAGGCAGACACATAATAATGTTCCATACAGTCTGGCATGCCTCCAAAGCCTTTCTGAAAATACAGGCTGAATCAATAGCTTAGAAGTGACAATTTACACATCATTCCTAAAATCATGCACCACACAACCAATACAACACGTGCTTGCTCTGCCCGGTTATATTTTTCCTGGGCAGCAGTGCTTCCTTTAGCTTATTCTTAGCTTACAAGAGGTAAGATAAAGCAAGATCTGCTGAGGGAAACACCTTTGAAATTTAAAGTCATTCACAGTTGATGAAAATCAAATATTCCAGAGACCGTATCATTACTTCAGAAACACACCCTCAAACAGAACCAAAACCTGAGCTCCAGTTTCCACTTTTATCCCTTTAATACCTCTTCTCTACCTGCTGTATGTTTTAAAGCCTTTGCAAAGACTGAGATAAGAATTGCCTACTGTGAACGGTGGATATGAAAAACATGTTGGACAACTTCAACAGTACAAATGCAGTTGGACACCAAATAGGATACTAAAGCAGCTCTTAAAAACATGCAAGCAAAAAATGACACAGATTTCTGATAACAGTATAAACCAGGTGGGGAGCTAACAGAAAACTTTGGTGCAAATGTCTCTGAGAGACTTTACCTCCAAGGACTTGAGAAGGGGTACAGACTCAATAAATAACTCGTACGTCTTCCTCTTCTTTGCATTGTTTTTCAATATAATTCTTCTGAATGTCACTCGATCCTGCAAGAAACAGCACAAACTGATTATTCCGCCTAGCTAAAGTGCTTACTGATTAAAGAACCTTTATCTAACATCTGAAAAAATGAATATCTAATATTTGCAAGAGAATTTAGATACAAGAAGTCAGTTATTAAAAGGTATGACATCACAACAGTGATCTTAACTGGCCTCATGACAGTATTTCCTGTAAATACCAAACTGAAAAACAGGGAGCTCTAAGACAAACTTGGTCCTTCTCAGATAGCCATTTAAGAATTCCAGTTTTACTCTCATACTGTTTTCCAGAGCTGAGTCTGTGAGGTTGGTTGGTTTTTTTTTTGGTTGGTTTTTATTCCATCTTTTACATTTTCACATACAATGAAGTTATGCTCTTCTTGCAACTCCTACTAAGGCAACTGCAGAATCAAGTCTGAACTGGGTTGTTCTCAAATCACAGATTCAGATTCAAGTAGATCAGCAAGCAGAATATCAAACAGCACCAGCCTTGATTCTCCCCCCACTTTTAAGGATAAGAGGCAGCTTTTTGCAGAGAATGGCTATTTCTGCACTTGCACGTGTCCACAGGTACCATAGCAACTTCCTGATGCAAAAGCGTTTGGAGTTTGTTTTTGAAGCCCAAATTTTGGTCAAGCTCACTCCACCACCCACCCGACTTCCCCCAGGCACCAACCCGTGCCGTGCAGGCTGTGCGGCCAGCAGGCGGCAGCACGCACCCGAGTGAAGGCCAGGCTGCCTGCAACATCTGGCCGAGAACCTGCAGCAGCAGACATGTTTGCGAGTTTATTGTTAGCGATCTGAACGGAATGCCTGTTATTTGCACACAGAAAGCTGCTGTACAACGTTGATAAGAAGGGCCACGAGAGAGTTGGGCATAAACACTGCATCCAGGCGAAGGGGAAGGGGTCACCCCACACCAGTCATTAACATTTGTGTAACAGTAATGTTCGTGGCCCTTACACGAGGTGAGCCTAAGCGAAAACAATCAAGACAAACAATCAGAAGAAAGGAACATTGTCAGGGAAAAAAAAGTATATGACAGTAAGCAGCAATAACTGAAATCCCTGAGAGCCACTGCTCTGGATCTCACTGTCTGAAAACATCAACTGCTACTTGAGGCAGAGAGATTGTGAGGTGAAGAGGTGTGTTCAGGTCAGAGAAGGGTTTTAGGGAATGCAGGCTACACTTACTTGGAAAGAAAACAACGACCGACACTGGTGATACAGTGGAATAAATAAGTTGAAGTGACAGATGAAAGGAAGAATAGCATTACTGTTAAGCAAAAGAACCAGAAGAGGATAAAGCCAGAAGGAATGGGTGGGTTTTGTTTTGTTTCCTTTCTAAAGAATTTTTTCAGTGCTAGAAGTCTCTTCAAATGCACACACGTGGAAGAGGAGAGAGGTGCAGAAGCGACCATGGGGATTGGAAAAGCATAAGAAAAAAATCAGAATTCCTTTGTTTGGAGGCACAGAGCAGCGATGGAAAAGTACACGATTGTGAGGTTTTCCCCCGATACAGGCAGTAGCAAATGGTGAGGGGACATTTTTGTGCTCCATATGAGACCCACACTTGATTGCTTTGTGCCTGCGCCTTCCAGGCTCCTCTTGGCCTAAGCCTGCACTGCAGGAGTAACCCGCACTTGCTGACTGGCAGATTACCCGTAAGTTTAACAGTGACTTTTACAGACTAATAAAAATGTTTAAATTACATTGTGCACAAAATATTACAATTAAATACGTCAACAACAGAGCAAGCAGAAATGTAACCAGTTTTAGGCATGAAAATGCAACATTAGTTCACAAAATATCCATGGGGCTAGATCACTACCAAGGTCCCCTTTCAACTACATCTCATTAATTACGTGAACATAATCAGAGAAATAAAAGAACTCCATTTGTGCAGAACAAAGAATGTCTCCTCCTTTTCTTCTTTTTATGAGTGGACTTGGTACACAGCTGTTACGTTCAAAAATTAGATTCTCACAGATTTCTGGTTAGCGACCAACATCTTTTCCTTCACCTCACAAAGAAGTCAAAACTCAGTTCTTTCAGCAAGCACAGATTGCTGTGTGCAGCAGCTCATCAGTTGTGTAATCAAGGTCCCAACACACACCAACCCCAGTGATAGTTGCTGAGGAGCCCAGAGATACACAGAGAACACAACACTTCTGGTTTCAAAGGCTTCTCCAATCACACAATCTGCTCATTACGTGAGCCTCACAGATGAGTAAGAGAGCACTATGAAAAATAACCTTATCCAAATGGCACAGAGAAAAGAACTAAAATAGGAAACTAATGTTACAGCTTCACATTCAACACCGCTGGACTGGAGACAAAGCAGCACCACCACTTAGCTTGGTATTTCATTTGACCTGAGAACCTCTTCCAGGGTAACACAGAGACCAGGAACATCATAACCATTTATTCTGAGTGAAAACAAAGCTTTGGGCAGTTTTCCTACTCTTCATATTACTGGCATGCTCAAGAAGATATTTAACACTGTTCATATCCATATAAAAGCAGACAGAAGGGTAGGAGGTTGAGCTGAAAATAATGTTATTTAGATATTGTTTGTATATTACCTCCTTCCCACCTCTACAAAACATATGCATTAATACCTCCACCATTCTCTGGTTGTTTTTTCCTTAACAAAAGCCCTGATTACAAAAATGCAAAACAAGAGACAGATAAAACTAGCAATACAGTATTTACAGACAAGTTATTCTAGAAAAGAGGCACAATGGATCCTTCTATGCTACAAGGTAAGATAAGAAACCATGATAAAAAAAATGCTATTAGTGCAAGGAGTCACATGGAGAGAAGCACCTGGACACGGTGAGTTAGTATTTCAAACAGTAGGCAAATGAGAGCAACTTCCTTTCCTTACCAGTCCCCAAAGGGCTCCTTCTGTTGTGGCAACAATGGTGGCAGCTCTAGGAGTATTGTACATCAACGCCAGTTCCCCAAAACTGCCGTGATTATCATAGCGGCCCACACAGCGCGCCTGGTTGTCTTTTGCTACAACAATATCATACAATCCCCTGGAAAACAACGGAATAGATGCTTTTCATTACACAACATTCCAGTACAGGTGACGAGACAATTTTTGCTGTTACAGAAACAGTCTATTCGCACTAGCTTTAAGTGAAAGCTGCTGGGCTGGAAAGGTCTCCTCACCCTGTTCTCTAAGAGGCAACGCTTCCAACTTATAATAAAGTTAAAGTAGCCCAAAATTTACTCAGAATCAATACTAATCTAATGAAGATAGAGGTACAAGCTCAAGGCATGAATGTGGCTCTAACTGTACCACAACTGTATACAAAGACACAGGCTGTGTAGAGGTAGCCCTTAAGATGCCACACAGGTGCCTTTAACACCCTCAGGTCAGTCTTACCTCCAGGGCTTAAAAAAAAATTAAAAATAGCTCCACCAGGCTCAGTTAACTCTGGCCTATGGCACCTAAGGTCACTCAAGTATTAGACAACAAACTATAAGCTTTACAAAATATGTTATATCCTGGTAAGAAGCTGGTAAAGAACACTTCAAGCAGCTGAGTGCACATGTAACTTTCCCCAGAAAGTGACACCGCTGTTGGAAGCAATGGTATTATCTCCCAGAACATCATTAGGCACCTAAGAAAGAAAAAAAAATCAATGGGAATGGCAGCAGGTGAAACTTTTCATAGTAAACAAGCATGGGAAGAGTCACTCTAGTGAGATCTACATCACATTAACAGCAGAAGGGCATTCAGTATTACTGATGGACAACCCTGGGTTTATTTCTTCTCTGAATACCGCATTCAGAAGAAAAGAAGTTCTACAGGGAAGCTTTATGACAGTCCCACTTGTAGGAGATTCCACAGAGCGGACATTAATTCCATCAGCCATGCAATCAGAAAGCATCAAAACAAGGATCTTGGATCAATACTAGCTCTAGCTGAGCCAGATTCGGACTTATTAGAAGATCCAAGCAGGTCCCTATTTGTCACCCAGAAAGCTGAAGAAAGAAGCTGTGCACATGAAGACTGCCTAGCAGCAGATGCTTTTTACACACTCTACTGCTTAATCACACCTAGCAGACAGGGAAACAACCAGCAGCATTACTAATAAGAAACTACTGAAATACGGACTACAATTCCTGGAAAGCTCCACTAATTATTGTAATAGATTCAGTGTTCATTTAGTCATTTTCAGAGAGGCATAAAGAACAACAGCCTTCAGAGGTACTTTTGACCTAGATGAGCCATTTGGAAAACTTTGAGTGAAATGCAACAACTTTTTCCCATCCTTCCAGTCTGAATGTCACTTAGCAGTGCCATTTATTTCTAAATAACTACAGCCAAGTAACCTTCATCCTAGCATTCAGCTGCCTGCAGCCCAGGGACCAAAGGGGTGAGGCACCACTGAGTGACCTTGGTTCAGCCTGAGAAAACTGTTGCTGAGCTATGAGATAGTGAACTAAAACCCTGCAAGATAAGAACGACAACACAGGCCAAAGCATCACTGTTGAGATGGTAATCATTTGCAGCTCAAGGACTCACAAGAAAAATACCCACATGAAAAAATATAAAACTCCTGCAAGAAAAGAAAAGAAAAACTGGAAAGGGCAACTTGGCACAACCGAGAGGCAGAGGCCAATGCTGCCTTCTCCTGACTGATGACTGCCTGGCCAGCAGAGACTCATCAGGTGTCTTCTCTGCAGCAGAGGACACCAGCACAAGGTACTTCTCCTAACTCCCCCTGGTCTCGATGATCTCTAGAGGTCCCTTCCAACCCCTGCAACTCTGTGATTCCCTGCAGAATGCACTGAATGGCTGCTGGATCCTCACGTTGACCAATCCGCCAATGTTGAAAGAGGCTCAGGAAAAAGCAGACTGGTACAGCTGGGTTAGAAACAGAAGACTTTGAAGGACAGCCCACACCAGGAGGCCTATTTCTCTATGCAGAGAAGAAGCCACGGAGTTACATCCGCAACAGAAAGTAACGGTTCACTCACACAGAAAGAAAAATCCTCAGGGATATTTAGGCATTAATGGCTTATCTTAGAATAATAACATGTGCCTACTGATGCCTTGAAAGAGCCAAAGTCCTCTGAATTTGCACTTGAAGACAAGTGGGAATACCACAGCTTTCAATAAGCACCAGCATCTCTCTATTATTTTGCAGGAAAAAATGAGGAGCTGGGGGTAGAGAAGCAGGACTGGAAGGGAGGAGGACAGAGAGCTGATAACCTTTGAATTCTTTGTAATAACAGAAAGGCAGTGTAAGAGTTGCAGCTGAGTTGGTATTTGACAGCAAAGGCCAGTACAGTTTATTGCTAAACACCACCAAGTTTAACTTCCCTCATTTATAGCCATTTTTTCCACATACTTTTGGCAACATATTTACATTTGTGGTATATTATACCTTAAAGACAACAAACCTAGAAGATTGAAATCTTCCAACTCAACTGTTTCAAAAGAAAGCACTTTGGAATAGCATTATATCTGTAGAAAAGACTGTAAACACCTAATATCAAATTAAGGTTACATTTTACTTTTTTTTTAAATGTTAAAACTCACAATGGGAGGAACATTTTAGTAAGCAACAGGTTAAGAGCCTTACAGAAACAAATTAACGTGGATCCAAGTGGCCTCTGGTATCTAACACTTCTAAGAGGCTCCCAAACATGAGCATAAATTTCCTCAGGATTAGGAAGCCCTGTTCTGTATGCACATCATCACACTGTCTTAAATAACTGCTTTAATATTAATGGTCTTATTCAGTGATAAGGATGGTGACACACTGACTCAAAAAGAAAGCAGGTAGGTCTATTCCAATATTTAACATTCATCCATAATACTGTGGTTAATGTTACACTTTAACAGAAGGAAATAAATGCGTGTCCTTAACTCTACTCCAAATATGGTGATTAGAAGTAATGTAAGGTGGAATTTCTCCCTAAAGCTCCTGTTGGGGAGAAAGACAGTCAAAGCTGTGATGCACATATATACACATACACACACACAATGCACTTTTTTGTGCATATCTGTGATCTACAAAACTATCAAGTGTATGTACTCAGTGCAACATACTGCAAAACAGTACCTAAACTGCAAATACAAAGCAAATGACCAATAGAAGCAAAGAACCACAAACATCTCTCAAGTCAATCACCAAAACTAACTGAAGGGAAGGTAAGTTATTCCACGGTAGCCACCAATTTATGTGCTCATGGAAGACCTTTCCTCTACCCCTCCCTTATCACATGTTTTTTCTTCCTTTTGCTGCCTTCTTTCTTCAGGAAAAAAAGAAAACTTAGTTCAGAGACAGCATATAACATGGCTGGTTTTAATCCACGCACATGCTGATTGGCACGAAAGTTAAACTGAACAGATTACACGAAAGTTAATGCTGCATCCCTTCCCTTTGGGAAAGTGATATTTGAGTTTTTATACAGTGACAAAGAATGTGTTAAAATCTGCCAAGTTTGCAAGGTGCACCTCTGTGAAATCTGATTATCCCTGGCAAAAGATCCAAAAGTCAGCAGGGACCTAAAGGGGAAAGAAAATTGAAAGACAAAAGGAAGCAGCAATGATTGCACGCAATACGCTTCTTTCCAGCCCTGCCATTTCTCAGAAACTAAAAGAAACGTATTTTGTATTTGAAAGGCACAGCTGCTTACTGCTCAATGACATAGAAGTTGTCTCCATCATCCCCTTGATCAATCACATGTTCATGAGGTTTCACCTTCCTCTCAAACATGGCATCAAGGACTTGAGAAAGCTGCTCCTATAAAACAAATGAGTAAGAAAAACAAAAGGCAAATTCACTTGACTCGATCTGGATAGTGAACTGCAACACGCATTGCACTGCACTATTTTTACTGCACACAAATGAAAGTAATTTCAATAACAAATTTTGATTTTTACTTGTAAGTACCTCACTTTGTTTAAAGCTTATCAGTGTAAGTTCAATAATGAATAAAGAATGATACTTCCACTACAGAAGGGCTATCATCTCAAATGCATATTCAAATTGCTTAATGCACACTATGGCAGTGCAAAAGCACACATGTATAGCAAGATCTCCCCTGGGATAATCATAGAACCATAGAATCGTTTGAGTTGGAAAGGACCCTTAAAGGCCATCTGGTCCAACCCCCCTGCAATGAACAGGGACACCCACAGCTCCATCAGGTGCTCAGAGCCCTCCAGCCTGACCTTGGCTGCCTCCAGGGATGGGGCACCACCACCTCTCTGGGCAATGAGAGCCTCACTGCCCTTAGCACAAAGAACTTTTTCCTTATAGCCAATCTACATCCCCTCTTTTAGTTTGAAACCATTTCCCCTTGTCATGACACAACAGATCCTGGTAAAGACTTTGTCTCCTTTCTAACCTCTCACACCTTTGCTGCAATGTCTGCTTGCTGATTTCTACCAGCAGTACACGTTTCATTACTTGTATGCCTAAAAACCACGCAAACTGAGTTTCTCTGCTGAGCCATGACTGAACTTTTGTAGGCAGCACAGCCAAGGAAGTTGTGAAAGTCAAAGCCCACAGACAGACAGCACCAACCATACATGATACTGCTTCTAGCACTCCTGCAAACACAGGCCATCTAGGCTTGGCTCTGGATGGCTTTGGCTCTATATCAAATATATTGCTGTTTTTCATGGAATTTTATTATCACATTTTTAAAAACTCCCCTGATACTTAAACTAAACCAGAATTATTGCCTGAAAGCAGTTTGTTGTAACCATTATATACCTATAAACCTATAAATTATAAACCCTAAAAAAAAACTTTCCAAAAAAACACAGGAACTCAGCCGTGTTTTATTTGGAGGAAAAACAGGCAAAGACTTGTAGCAAGGAAATGAAACAGTGAGCCCTTCTGTTAATAAGGGACTAAGCTGTCAGATTCCTGAACTGTAAGGCTTTGTTGGTTTGAAGACAAGTACTAAGGATGCTCAGGGGCATTCCTGGTAAGAACAATAGTTATTCTCATCAGTAAAAGATTCAGTCACAACTCAAATTCCACAAACTTATAAATAAGATGCTGTGGAGCAAACACATGCTATTTCATTCAGAGCTTTTAACAGCCTATTTTCTACATCCCCTGCACTTTAGGTTGAAACATAAATCAGGTATATCATTGGGCATGACCAAAACTTCTATGTTATCACCCTGATATTAGTCCAAAACTCAACATGAATCATGCTAGAAACTATCCACTGGACACTGGCTCCTTTGTATTTAATATCAAGTATTACAGCAGCTACTCACGCAAGGGGGGACATTTTACATTAAGGGTAGTTGAGTCTCTGGACCTAAATTTAACACAGTTCACCTAAACGCAACCAGCACAAAAGGGATGAATTTGGCCAAGACATTCAAGTCACATCAACACATTTAATCCAAGAGGGGTTTTACAGGTTTTGTTGGGTTTTTTGTTGTTTTGTTTTTTTAAGAAGTTTTACATCACACTCCTTGGAAGCTAAGAAGCAAAAGAACAGATTTGGGGCCTCAGTTTGGAAGCATTCCTCACAATTATTAAAGGATGTCACACAGTGAGCAAAAGCAGCCACCACGTGTTTCACTATTCAGTAGATTCTGTGTGGCCAACCTTACAAAGGAGTCATGTCTGGCAACTACATAGAGGATGTTCAAAAGAAATTATCAGGATGAGGGGCAAGTCTCCTACCCCATTTGTACTCAATACTAGAAAAACTCTTCCCTCTCTGCTAAGTGCCCTTTGTCATACTGTAATTAATGTATGCAATGCAGTCATCTTTTCACCACATGCTATCTCAAAGCTTGAGTCTTTAACAGCTGCAGTTAAGATTATTTCCGTTGCTTCTCTTCACAGTTGCTTAGAAAGCCTTTCTCAGAAAGCAATATTTTTCTAATCCCAGTTTCTAGGCTCAAATTTGTTTTTTTGAAGTTATCTTTGAACGTGAGCTGGCTATTAATTACTGCTTCTGGGTCATTCTACTCCCAGCAGTCTGAATGGTGATCACATTTTGTACATACTCCTTGAGCTGAATGCTTTCAAATGTTTCATTTTTTACAGCAACCAAGAATTGGGAGAAATTCCTAATTTTCAAGGAAAGCTGAGCAGTAGTTCTGCAGCCATGAAGTACACACTTCCATACCTCAGGAAAAGCTCTGATTCTAACCATGAAGCTGCAGGTACCATTGCTGGTGTTACAGCTTTCATTATTTCTCTTGAATGTTATGATGCCAGAATAGAGATTCGACCTGTAGAGGAGACATCAGCTCCATAAGGATGGAAACAAAGCCAGATATAAGAAGCACTTATTCTATGGTCTTTTGGAGGCTGGATGTGATGAACCCAAAGGTCCTTTCCTGAACTGTCCAACATATCCTATCGTATCCTATATCCTAACATATCCTGAACTATCCTATGAAAGCCAATTAAGATTTCTCAGTGCCAGCAAGAGATATTCATCACTAAAACTTAACACTGAAGCAAAGAGTAAGGAACTTCAGCAATAAGTCTGTAAGATGAGCAGGAACACGGACAATCCAAAAACATTACTTTTAGATTCACTTACAGAAATGTTACTGACACATTGCAAATAATAAAAGAGTGCAGCAATCTGAAATCGAGCAAATGTAGACAGTGATGGCAACTGGCAGTCTGACCTGCTTATTTGTATTCTTCATTCACAAAGCAAAAACAGTGCCTGGACTGTTAGATCAAACTACAAAACAGCATGTTCAGATTTCCTTAAACTAATATTACCTGATCTAGATTTTTGAAGAGCAGGATATCTTTGCATGCCTCCTGCAGTCTGCATCGCTGTTCATCTGTTTTTGGATGAACTATCTTTAAAACAAAGTAAAAATAAATGAACTGTCACAACAGCAAAGAAATATAATTACAAATTAAATCTTCACTTCAGAATGAAAACACAAAGACAATTTCAGGTATCATTGTATACAGTTCCTTTTTGTTGTCTGCACAAGCAGTATTTACATACAAATATATAATGCAAGGCAAGGTGAAAGAAAATTAAAGTAAAACCCATAAGAGATATATTATGCTGACAATTAGCACATGCAAAATAAGACAGACAAGAAAAAGATGCCTTTCCTTTTCCTTCCCTTCTAACCCAGCCACAGATACAGTCACAGCTTGGGAACCTAAATGAAAAAGCCAAGTTTTCTTTCTAAACTCTGCCTATATTAGTTCCAATACCCTCACTGTTGGCAATTCAGAGAACTTATGAAAAGTATGAGACAAGTCTCTCTGACCACCAACAGAATTTATCTAAGAAACATTTTTCCCCACCAAAAAAACATATCTCATGAAAGAGATTTATTGACACTTCTTCTCAGTTATAATTCCTTCATCAGGAATATGTGCTTTTGGTGGAATTATGACAAAGGGCTCTGAAAAACAGCAATGATGGCAGGCTTTTCTAAAAGCCCCTTGTCCAAATTGGAGCTGTACTAACTGAAAACTTGTTTGTACAGGATGGAATAAATGTAGCCTCGTTTGAAAAAAATAACTGGATGGCCAGATACACCCTATTGTTGTTATTTTTTCTTCTTGTAGAATCTCATGTATCAATTACATTTCTTTGTAGGAGAAATTAGATTAGACCTAGATTTTCATAGCAGAATTGTAAGCATCTCTGAGTTGGAATCTGGAAATGCACCAGCAGTCCCTAGAGAAAAACCCTGACCCTCACCAGCCAGGCTACAGGATTTCCTCACATAAAACATCTCTGAAGCAATACAATAACAGTATCTGGGCCTGAAGTTCCTAGAAATTCCCAACTTCCAAATCTAACAGAACAACAGGTGGCCAGCATCTCAAAACATTTCAACAAAGTATTTCTTCTACCCAGGGTGAACTGCTCTGACAAGAAAGGCGGTGCAAAGCATGTGTGGAATTTTAAGCAGCCACAAAAGAACAGCTGTCCTTGGGCTTAACTAATTCCCCACAACAGCACTAGTGCTTTAGGAATTGCCTCAACAAATATTCAGAATAACAAAGAAAGGAAAAGGCCAAAACTTTCAGAGATGGTAGACATAAGCAGAGCTCTCATGTCCTCTGAAATAAAACCATATTAAAGCAACAATGACTAAGTAACTGCATGGGACAAAGTGGCACTGAGTTTCAGAGCAACACCGCTTCCTCAGAGACAGCAGAGCTCACAGCCTCTCTGAAAGAAAAGCACAAGTGGTGAGGAGAAATGTGACTCACAGACATCTGCCTGTCAAACCGCAGAGAGGGCCATGCATGATGCAATTCATTCATTCTTACCCTCTGCTCCGTGTCTTCTTCCTCTTCATCCGGATTGAAAGCTTCAGCACAGACTGGAAAAAGGTGCAAAGCAGTGAAAGAATATCAGACAAATCAAGTTGAAATTAATTTCTCCCAGATTTATTATCCGCATTTTCTCATAGGAAAAAGATCCACTTTTTTCTTATGCTGTAGTAGTGTCAGAGACTCAAATCCTATCTGTTCTCAGAGCAGGCACACCATGGCTGATCTCAAATTCTCTCATAAGAGGTCAGTAACTTGCCCTAGAAGGCAACGCTGCCTGCTGAGTACTGCAATACATGCACATAAGTTTCCTTTCCACCCTTACTGAAGCATTAAAAAAATAATCACTATTCAGATTAATTTATAGACATACTCATCAAAAAAGCAGGGTGAAAAGCACTGCAGCTACATTGCCCCATGCTCTGCAGAACAAAGCAGATACCAAAACAGATAAAAAGCAGTGCAAGGAGGCATGTAGCACTCTACCTCAAGTCAATTTGCAATTATCTGCTCTTTTTTAATGCAAAAAAATCATATTTACACAAATTAATCTGGTAAATGACTGCAGCTTGACTACAGTATATTCTGTGACTATGAAAAATAGAGGTTAGTTCACTCCTCCCATATGATCCTGTATCTTACTACGTTTGAATCAACAGAATATCAAATTGATAGGAAAAGAACAATGAAAAATACAGTGATCTTTCTTTTTTAAAGGCTGAGAAATTTGTGTAAATCCCAGTGCTTAGGAACAAGGCTCTTGCAAACCAGCCACTGTAAGTGCAGTGGGAACTACCCACTGTGTAACACCAGCCACTGTGGGAGATGCAGTGATAATGACGAGCTTCTAAAATGTCAATTTTGTCCATTTCTGGTACTTCAGAAAAGGCTCATCTTCGCCGTTGTTACACAGTTTTACAATATCAAACACATTCTCCTTTGGCCAACAAAAGCTGAGTCCAGATTTTGTCATTAACTCATGGGCATTTGCTGTTCTTAGGCGTCAAGGTGAACCCTCCACTCTTACTACCTGCAGAGATAAAGCGAGAGTCTTCTTTCTCGTCCGTCCTGCTCTTGCTCTAATAAGGACAGCCTCACTTCTGACCCACACAGCGCTCGTTCAATTTTACAAGGAAACACCGACAGCATTTTTCTTTTTGCTGTACCCAGCATCCCGACAAGACCGAACTCCTGGCGGAATGCCCCGCAGCTCACTGCAGTGACATGAAACAACTGAATGGACTCAGAAAGCATAAAGACGAGTCGACTCGAAAAGAAAAAAAGAAGGCTTCAAATTCAGCAACTTGCAAATAGTATGAAAACCTATACGCAACTACTGACCTCATCATCATGCTTTAAAAAAAGGCTGCAAGGTAAGCATAATTCGCTAGAAAAGACCTGCACCTTTTAGGCAGCAAAATTTAAAAAAAAAAAAAAAAAAGCAAGTCTTTTCTAGCAAATTACATTTTGATTCCTGTCTTTTTCCTGGATACAAACAGACTGGAATACAATACAAGTACTGCATTTATTGCACCACAATGTAAAACCCCAATTATGTAATCATTAGCTATGTTAAGAGCACTTACGTTCATACAATAAACCCATTTTCTGTGCTCAGACAGCCCCGTTTCTCTGTCCTTCTGATTGTAAAGAACTCCTGTAACTATCCCATGGAAGTGAATTTCAGGGCTCCCAAAAGTGAGCAGTTTGCAAATGGCAGCAGACAGCCTCAGTGGAAACCTATTTGATCTTCTACCTTGGCTGAGCAAAAATATACTTGCTCTATCATTATCTGCATGTGTCTGAATTAACACTTGAACTACTGCAGTATCCCAGTGAAACAGGTGCTCACAGACAAGCTCGAAGCATTAGAAGCAGTAGTATCTTCTCAGACTCACCAAAGCACCAACTGGAAGGACCTCTTTCTGAAGGTCACCCAGCCCAAACCAGCCCTACAGGGGAGCTACCTTCAATGCCAGACCAGGGCTGACCTGGGAACCTCCCCGGCTACAAACCCCACAGCTCACTGGCTTCCCAGTTGCAGCACAGCAATGCTCTCCCAGGCAAAAAGCTTTTCTTAATGTGCAACCTAATTCTCACAAATATCTTGAAATAAGTGATGTCTGAACTCACACCTTTCCTATGTAAGACTTTTCAGCACAGCTCTGCCCTTGAGCAAATGCTAAGTATGAATATGATTCCAACAGCACAACTGCATCAGCACATATGCACTTCATGCAGACAAGTATCTTCTCAAAACTACCCACAGAATTCTAACAGCTTTGAAACAGAATAAAAGTTTTCAATTTTCAGAAGCATTAAGATATATATATATTTATTTATTTATTTTTTCTTTTAATCAAGCTTTTATCCTAACATTTACATTTTTTTCTCTCTTTGCTTGTGCAGCTTCTACAGCTAGTTTAGCTTTCTCCTCATACAGCACCTTCTTTGGCTTTCAAGAAGGCACATCTGTTAACACTGCTGAAGGCTCAGATCTATATTCTGTTATGCAGGTGACAGCATCTGAAAGCAAGAACGATCTTTCTGGCTGCAGCAGCGATGTTAGCTGTGAATGGCAGAGGTGGGGGGAAACAAGAGGCAGAGAATTAAAAGTTGCAAGAGAAGGTTGCCAGTAGAAACACTTTGCTCATGCAAGCATGAATCAATCCCAAGATATCATTCTGCGAAGGATGTTTTGTCAAGATCAAAGTCCTTACACTCCATGCAAATTTCAGAATACTTCAGCTCTCATAAGCAAAGTGTTTGTGTGAAATGCATGCTGCCCTCACAGCTGGGGCATTGCTGTTACTCCTTTGTACTTATTAAATCATAGAATGGCTTGGGTTGGAAGGGACCCCAAGGATCATCAAGTTCCAACCCCCCCCGGCCACAGGCAGGGCCACCAACCTTAGGATGCATTACTTCCAGTCAGTCTGACAAGATCTATCACTAAAAACCCACCCAGAGCAGCACACACAGAGCAACTTTTCCAGCTACTCACTGAGATCAGTAATCTCACACGATGTTTCAGGCTGTGTTCTTTGCTTCAGAGCCTGGCAAAGCTCCAACCATTTCTGTCCCCCAGGGGCTGATGTACAACCCCTCCTGTGAGGACACGCAGCTGGAGAGATGACCACTTCCAGGGCTTCTCACTGCTCCTTCACAGCTGAGCTGCTGAAGCAGGCACTTCCAAAATGACATAACAGAGATGAACTACAGAAGCTTACACAGAACCTGCACAAGGGTCTTCAACAGCACTCAGTACGATTTGCTGTACTTAGGGAAACAAATTAAAAGTTCCCCCTCGCTTTTGTTTCTGTACAGATCAGAATTTTTTGGTTCAGAAATCACACTTTACTTCCCGAGTTACAGATCTCACCATGTCAAAGACAACTACAGATCCATCCCGAATGCTCCAGGAGCCAAAGCCAAGACACAACTTGGAGTGCCTGGGATGTGAAGAGCCAACTCCCCCTCAGATGTGTCAGATCCCGACACAAACTATCCAAACACAGCACTATCTGCATGACCATGTATGTCAAATGAAATGCAAAACATTTTATTTGAGGGATATTTAGAAATAATTTAGATAGCAAAGGAAAAAAAAAAAAATCATTTTTCAGTTCTGGAGAGATCTTACTGTACAATTATAAAAGTAAAATAAAACCTACTCAGTTCTTCACAGGCAGAATTCTATTTCTTTCAAGACACAAAATACAGTTAATCTAAGGGAAAAGAAGGTAAAAATGTTTATCTGGCTCCACCAAAACATTGCTTAATTCCATAATCCAACTTGAAAATACCCATTCCCACTACAGACATTTAATGTGTGGGTTTTGTTTATTTCTTTTTTCCTTCATAGGAAATCCAACTCTACATTCACATATACCTTTCCTCCCAAGATGCCTAAGTACAGGCAGTGTAATAAGCTCTTTAAAATGAAAACATCTATTTCATATACACATTTGTTCTACATATTCTGAATGAGTTTTTCAAATATTTCTCCGAAATTCATCTGGATCAATAAAAATCTGTTTTTAACTTCTTATCTACAAGGCTTTACCATCAGATCAGACACTAATCTGCTTTGGACCTGGCAGCAAACAAGTGAGTCTGCATGAAAAACAGCAAAAAGCCTTCTATCACTGCAACGATGGAAAAAGAAGAAAGTTTTTCATGTGGCAGCATCAAAGGAGCTCACAGCTCTGACACAGGAACAATCCAACCCAAAACATTACCCCTTAGATCCTAAACAGTGAAACTGTTACTTCTGTTTCCTTTAATACATTTGAACAAAATCTCAAAAGGGCAGCAGAGCATTTCAGACTTCAGCACTGTGTGTGGTGCAGCACAAGAATCTCAAAAGCAGCACACTTCATTCTTGCAAGTTAAGAAATCAGAAGGCTGAAATGGATAAACACTCTGCTGACCTCGTTCAGGCCTTCTAAGAGCCTTACCGATGAGATAGTCACCCATAAAAAAGGCCTCCTGGAAAACATGATGCTACTGCTATTTCAGAGCACCCAGCCTCACAATTGTGCAAGTAAGCCTTCTGCTTTCATGATCTTCCCTGTTTTAGCCAGTTACACATATTTTACCTCATTTCTGAGTGCTTTACTTGATGCAGGGAAAACAAGAAACTAAACACCAGAAATGCCTATGGGCCCAATAGACACTACAATACTTCATATTTCAGTTAAAAACTGAACATGGAGATTGTTCATTTTACATTTAGGTTACATTAAAACACTACAAGTTCTAAGAAACAGTTCAAGTACATCCCTCAAAAACAATTAAATGTGCATCATACAGGCCTTCAGTTGCAAGGAGTAGATAGGAGAGAATTTAGCCGAGGAATAGAACAGAAGGGCTTTTCCATTCCAGAAATAAGAGCTTCCCTTTCAACTTCCAGACCAAGGCCCTTTTCTGGTTTTATACTTGCAGTCCTGATACATGAACTGCTAAGTCTGCAATGAGGCACTTAATATTTTAAAAGAAACACCAGGATCTTAGGTAAAGTGCACTGAAGTGCTGCATGTTAGAGGAG